ACTTAAAAAATTTTTTTTTGGAATAGAAGCACGGAGAGGTGTATTTTAAATATAAAAAATTAACACTTAGCTGTCCTTGAAAGTAGCAGCAGGATAATTTTAGTAATTGCATTAATGAGAAAGTCTAAAGGATTTCGGCTATGATGAAAGTTGTGAATTTTTTTAGTTCCTCTCCTTATCTCTTATATATTGATCCCCTTAAAAATGTTTATAGTAATTAGAATGTTTCGTCTTCCGCAATTGATTAGTTATATAAATGTATTAAAAAGATAAGGGTTAGAAGGTTGTTATACAATCACTCGGAAAATCTTGCAAAACTTGTATAAATTATAAACTTTGTTTCTTAAGTAGCAGACTCTTTACTTTGGAAATCTACAAAAACCTCTTTGATTGCCTTTATAGGAGTTAACTATATCCAAGCTATAGTCGAGGGTTACATAATGAGAACGCAATACAGACTTTAAAATAATCCAAAGACACGATATACCCTATAACATAGAGAAGATAATAAGGAATAACTATATATGCGTGAAAGCGATAGATGTCAAAAAGTTAATACATAATTTGAGCTTGCTCGAGGAGTAAAAGGTTAATGGGGTTAGATTAACGGCCTTTACGTAACTGTGTATATATGACTTCATAAGAATCGGAAAAGCAGGGAACCTATTTTACTCATGTGGTTGCCATTAAATTATTTATTGCATTGTATATTTAGTTATAAGCAATATAAATCTGTATAATAACATTTATACAATAGTATTAATAATTTTTCTCAAATTTTTTAATAATCTTTAAACTTAGCAAAAAAAATAAAGTATATATTAATTTTATATAAATTTCCCTCCAAACTTGAGAAAGTAAATTTTTATATATAAATTTTAAACAGAGAATGTGTGCCTTTCTTTCACTAATTAATTAATTCTAAGTTACAAACGACGTTAAGTTTACAAATTAAAATTTATTAGTTACCACAATTTTAAATCATTTCGAAAAGGTTTGTTTTGTTATCAATTACCCATCATGTAAGCCCTGTGTTTTCTTTTCATATCTTTCAAAAAAGTACATAAATTTTTCTTTCCAATTACAATAAATTGTTTAAGCATAATTCAAAAATTATATTTATTATGATTTTAAGAATTCATTTATTAGTACCTCCATATAAATAAACCATGTAACTTAGAAAACTACTTTCAATAATTGAATATACAGTTATTGCAAATTATACAATTTTTACAAATATTTAAAAATTATTATTGCTGAAATAGTACTAAATTTTTTTTAAAAAAAGCAAAACTACTTAATAACTATTTAAGCTAGATCCTTACTATTGATATAAGTGATGTAGACTATCTATTGCAACTACCATGTTAATTCTATAGTATTACGTTAAAAATTAAAATTTATATCGATTACTTCAGTTATGTTCCGATGCTTAGTAATATTTTTAGCTAATTTGTTTAAGTAGACCTTAAGTATATTTAATGGTTCACTGCATAAAAAACGAATATGGAATTTACTTCCTATAACTTACACCGTTTGGATCTATTTTTTTTCACTATTCTAGGACTGCACCTACTTTCAAAAGTCTTCTAATTTGAGCTAACCGATTGACGGGTTTATGCAGATTCTATAAACAGACTAACGGCGTCTTCTAAGAAACACGTAATCGGAAAGTAAAAGCTAGCATCATGGATTATTCTCTTAAAGGAGAACTAAATGAAACAAATTATTGAAAATTACAATGATTACTTATCAAGCAATTAACACTAACACCAAAATTTATTAAAGCAAAATCATACACGTTAACAACTTTTATAAATATTCAAATTAAAAAAAACTTATATATCTCAGAAACCTTGAGTAAACCATTAAGCACAATGATTTTTTAATTTACATACAACCGGGCTGATAAACTTTGAAGGCCGGGAGACTAAAAGCTTTTTCAGATGACTACAAATCTGGCTATATCTGCGTAGTTTTTAACAAAAATAACCTCTTTTTTCCCTAGGTTGCAGTAAAATAAATGTAAACTTGATTGTGTCCTACATAACTATTAAATAAAGTTTTGACCTAAAAACTTTTATAAAAATAGTATCTGCTAGTTACTTTTAATGGGAGTAATAATTGAGCAGGATTTTCTCTTAGAAAAAAATGCTTTGATGGGGTTTGTAGTTGTACTACGATTACTTATAGACAATACCAAATAACAAGCCAGTGAACTGAATGTTTTTTGTAAGTAAAATTTTAATGCTATCTAATTTTAATGACCTTTTATTCGTTTAAGTGTACATATTTTTTGTTACCCGGCTTATTGCCTTAATTTTAAAATCTTTAATTTTTCTTAATAAAAAATAATCTTAAAACAGCTTTATCAAGTACAGCTTTCACTCTCCTGGGTTTTCTAAAGTTTTATAGTTAAACCGAAGGGCGAGTTAAATGTAAGTTTAGCTACGTCAACCCTAAATAAAATTTTCTAAGACAGACATTGAAAACTTTAAAATATTAAATATCTACACGAAAACCTTTTTAAAAGTAATTTAGAGGGTAACTTAGTGCAATGTTCCCGAATTCTTTAAGTTTGAGGTAAAAAATGAAAGTATTAAAAAGTCAAAACTAAAATAATGCCGACTAACCCCTAACCCTTCACAAAACTTTAAGCTGTAAAACTAAAAGCGTGTATATTATGTAAAAGTCTTTACTTGTGCTTTGTGGAAGAGAACAATTACCTAATAATTTTTTCTTACTATAACAGAAAGAGTAGTATATTACCACTTGTATAACACAAAAACATTTGTTCATTTTTAATATCAGGACTTTTTTATATGTAGAAGTAAAGAATTCACTTACATAATTAAATAATTGTTAGAATTTTTGCTTTATCAAGCTGGTGCTACAATAAATTTATATAATTAAAAATAAGCTTAATGTTATATAAGTATAAATAAGCTTAATGGTTAAAAACATTTATGGAGTTCTCTAGTAATATTAAAAGGATTTAACCACTTAAAAGTACAAAGGCTAACAAAAAATTTTAGTTTTACTTGTAATATATACAAAAATATTAACGACCGTCCTAACCTAATTGGTTTAATATTTCTATTTATTTGTTATTCATTTTGTCCGGGCTCTTAAGAGAGCTTTTCTTTATACCAAAAGTTCTGGTAACTAAGAAACACACTTATATTAATTTATTATTTGTTTTATCAAATTAAAATGTTAAAACAATGCCAACTAAAAAAAATGTAATTTTTTAGATCAAAGAGGTACTGCTTAAAAGAATTATGAGCCTTTTTTAAAAAGCAAACTTTTTAGTAAGCATTTAAAAGTAAAGGTTCTCAAGATTTAAAGTATTAATTTCCCTCTTACAAATAAATGCTGGGTAGAAGCTTTGAGATGAGGCATGCTTTTTATTATATTTAGTTGTTTACGCATGCGTATAGAAGTGAAAAGCTTTGTGGTTACCCTTTTTTATAGATTACTAAAAAATCTTTTTAGAGCAGGTAATTTTTTTAACTCCTCTTTGTATAATTACTGGCCTAAAAGCTAATAGAAATAAAGTTGTGTACAGCACAAATAAAATCATTGTTTCCTTAATGGAAAAATATCCAAATATCTTATTCTTGTATTTAAGGTTGTGAAGCAGTTTTATTAGAAACTTACTAAAAAAACAATAGTATCAACGTTCAACTGTGTGATTTCATTGCCCTTATTAACAATACAAATTTTTTACAGTTATGTAGTAATGGCATGACTCCGCTGTAATAATAATTTGAGCTAGAAGGACTAAAGTTAATTTTAAAATTAATATAAAGAATTTATAAGCTTATTACACATATAAGGTAGTTATCTTTTATAAAAAAATTGTTTTTTATAATAAACAATAAAGGAAGAAGATAGGCAATTTTATTGGGATTTAAAGATGTTCATTTTCCGCGAAAAGCCTTTTTGTTGGAAATTTTCATTTTTTAATGAAACATTTCATCAAGCAATAGAGTTTGCACTAAAATCTACCTCATCAAAAAATTTTTATTTAGTTAAATTTATTAACTTTTTATGTATATATCGCTTACCAACAGTAGTTTATTGGAGGGCCAATAATTTACCCAACTTTATAATTTTTATAAGAGCACAAATATTTGTAATAATAAATTAATTGCATGTATTATGGCGTGTACTTTACTAGGATATATTAAACTTTTCAAACTTGCATATAAATATTAACTTGGTATTATTTTGTTAGTCCTCAAACTTATTACAGTTTAATTAGCTCAGTTTAGGAGAAAGCACATAAGCCAAGAAATAGAATTCGTCGATGTCAAAATTGCAACAAATGATGGAATCGTTAGGGTGTAGTTTTGGCTGCTTAGTCCAGGAAAACGAAATCATATATAAGAGAACTAAAAAACTTTTTAAAAAATTAAACGACAGTTTATTTATTAGAAATAAAATTTAAATTTCCTTTTATTAGCAGTATTCTATTTAAAGCGAAAAACACTATTAAAAACAAGTTATTTACATATTTTATCAATTTAAAATTTTTATCCATTCATTCTCATAGCTTTAATATAAAAACGGGTGACCCTCTGTAATATCTTTAGAACATAGTGAAAACTTGTGTCGACCTAAATTGGGAGACACAAACTTTTATGGAAATAAAAAATTAAAAAATTTAACAAAGTCCGGAAAAAGCTTTACATTACTACAAATTAATATACAACAAATAAACCTTTATTTTAAGATAAAAAAGGCCAATTAGAAACTTGAAGAGCGTTTCTTCCAATTAATTAAACTCAACAAATTCATTTGCTAGTTAAAGTACAAATAAGCAGCCAACTTTTCCTCCTTCACTAGTCTCTTCTGGGTTTATCTCGTGTGATTTGCTTTGGGTGCTGTCAAGTCCGCTGGTTTTTTCTTAAAAGGCTCTGTTTAGCTTTTTTGCTCAGTGCTGTGTCTTAAGTTAATCTTATAAGAGGAGTTACTTTTTTATTACAATTTAAAATGTCTGATTCCACTGATGAGGATGGACAAGATGATAAAATTGTAGATAGTTCCCCAAATAATAGATTTCAAAAGGTCTATATACTACAATTTTATTATAGCTTTTCGATCACCATCATTTCTTTTTATATGAAAGACTCGTGTTTTGCTGGGTAGCGGTGCTTATAAAGTCGTCTATAAAGGGTATGATACAGAAGAATGCAGGACTATTGCTTGGAATGAATTAAGAGTAAATTTTGGTTCCACTTCAGCAGAACTAAAAGTTAATAAACTTTTTTTTGGTTTTTATGGCTCGTTAGAATAAATGTTTAAGTGAGGATTCGCGCTTTGCTTTTAAAGCTGAAGTTTCTTTGTTGAAGGTATTTGATCTTTAGGAAGTGTTAGTCTAATAATACTTAAATAAAATTTTTTATGCAAGCAACTTTTTTATTAGAATATGCTTAATCTTTTTTTTAGAGGCTCATATTATTTTGTTTATTGCACGTTTTTATGCTTTTGGGTAGTAAAATCGCTTGCTTTTTATTATTTATAAAAGCAAATGGTTTATTTTTAGTGTTTGCTTTAAATGCTAAATAACTAAAAAATCTAATTAAGGCATTGATGTAATTTATTTATTATAATTTAAAAAAATTTCAATTTTTTTTGGTTTTTATAGCATGTGAGATGTTATAAATTTATAATACATCGTAATAATTTATTTATATACGATTTATATAGCATGTAAGACACCCGAACATTCTTGTGTTATACGATTGGTGGGAAGTCGAGAAAAAGAAAAAAGATCGATCCGTTTATCAAATTGTTTTTATAACGGAAATTATGTCAAGAACTTTAAAGCAGTGAGTTGTCATTATTTTATTTAATAAATTTAATTTTGATAAATTTTGTTTGGATTTATTTTTATAAATTCATTTACGTTAATTACTTTATAATTTTTTTTCTTTGTTTTTATATATTTTTAATAAATCTAATAATTTTTAAGGCATATTAAAAACTTATCACAAGTAAGGCCGAAAGTTATACAAAATTGGGCCAGGCAAACTCTCAGAGGTTTGCTTATAAATTATATTTCTACGAAATTTTTTCATATACTTTATTTTAGGATTGCATTATCTTCATTCCAATACTCCACCTATAATTCATCGAGATTTGAAGTGTGATAATCTTTTTATAAACAGCGATCGCAGCGAAATTAAGGTAAATTATAGATTAATTATTTTTTATTTGAATTTTTGTATTGTGAATTTAGATTGGTGATTTAGGATTAGCGACATTTAAAAATAGTTCTCATAAAGAGTCCTGTATAGGTACGTTATATATATATATATATATTCTAAAAGATGATAGTATATAGATAACTAAAATAAATATATTTATAAAATTATTATAATAATAAAAAAGATAGAGAATTTTTAATTAAAAATAAGAAAAGTTGTAAAAGTATAATAAAAAAAGTAAATTCAATTATAATAATTTTTTTTTAAGGCACTCCTGAATTTATGGCGCCTGAAATGTTTGACGGGAAATACGGCGAGGAAGTCGATATTTGGGCTTTTGGCTTGACGGTGCTGGAGATGTTCACTAACGAGTATCCCTATAAGGAGTGCGCCAGTAACGTGCAGATAATGAAGGCGGTGATCTCGGTTGGACATGTGCTCGCTAGGACTGATTACTTTTGCTAATTTACTAATTTTAGGGCGTTAAGCCAGAAAGTTTGAAGAGAGTGCACGTGGAGAGCGCCAGGAAAATGATCGAGTCATGCTTGAATTTGGACCCTTCGAAAAGGCATATTTCTTAGTGGATCTTTTTAATATTTTGGTTTATTTTTAATTTTATTTTGCGTGGGGCGTATAGAAAAACGACCAGCGAGCTTTTGACGTGCGACTTTATTAGCATTGACCTTCCCGATGATTTGCCCCCTTCGCCAGAGGAAAGTGTTCATTCATGCTCTGGGGACAGCCTTAACGGGAGCGTTCAGGAGAACGGCTTGAACCAATCGCAAGCCGTAGCGGGCTGTAACGGCTATAGCGAGCCTCCTCTTTCCGGTTTTATTATTTATTATCGTTCTTGTTATTATTATTACTAATATTGTTAATATTATAGAAGAAGGTTCTAAAGGAGACGCTGTTGTAAGACCAAATGGAGCGCTTGTTAATATTGGTGCTACTCCTATTCATTATGAAGGTTTATTTTATAAGAAGAACTCCTATTCTGCTAACTTAGATAAGTGATCCTATTTTTTTGATAGCAGTTTTACCAGAAGCTGACGCTGCTTTGGGCATTAAAAATAACGAAAAGGCCACGAGGACGCCCATTGTTAATAAGGAACCATCATCAACCCACGTGGATGTTAACACCCACTCCAATGGTGTGCAGGCTTACCATGCATCTCAAGAGGGACACCACGTTACCGAACCTGCTTTCCAGAATAGCAGAGTTCGCGTGCTTTTCTTTGAAAAGACGGGCGATACTTCACTCCACATGATGTATGCTTTGACTTTTTCACTCATAAAATTATGTGAATATTTTGTTTATTATAAATAGGCTATCCACCAAGTCGTTGGAAACTAATGTAGCCGAGTTGGGAAGAAAGGCGGTGCATTTTTCATTTGATATGGTACCTTTTTTCCTCTACATGGTGGCAAGAAAATTAATGTGTTCCGCTGTATGATCAGACACGTGACAATTCACGTGGCATTGCTGAGGAACTGATTCGAGCTAATCTTTTGTCGGAAGAAGACGCTGAGGCGGTTGTTGAAGGAATTGACAAGATTATTGCAGAGCAGAGCGTCCCTCCTCGCGTACAAGCTACCGCCCCCGCTTCAATGCTCGTGCAGGACGCCGCCTGTTCTCAAGAAGATAGCGGGAATATTAATAACTCAGCGGTTTCATCGCCCATCAATGTACCCACGCGTCCTCACTTATCCTCGAGTCACTTGGAAGGTTCCTCCCTGAGACCGTCACCCTCATTAACGGTAATTGAAGAGCAGATACACGTGCCTCAGGAAACTTATAACCAGCTTCAGCATGTTAATTCCATGAATTCGCAGTATTTTTGTCAAGACCAGCAGAATCACATATCGCATAACGCCGACCTCTATCCGTCGCCGCAGTTCCCCGCTGGCTATGTCCCCGCACAACCCACCGGGGTAGCGCCCGCTACACTCCAGCATGGTCAGGATAACGGCCAATTCCTCGGCCAGACCGCTGCTCTACCCGCCGAAAATTTTATAAAGCCGATTAATATGGCGCAAAATAGTTATCAGGAACAGATTGTGCATCAGCAAAACGGCTCGGAAGGCGTTGCTAGAGAAGTTAAGCCCAATGAGACTGTGTCTAGCTATACTCAAGCAGGACAAAACTATAATATTCATAGGGATTATTATAACAACAACTCTACAGAAGGAGGCGCGCAGGTCCCTTATAGTGGCTCCTTAGAGAACGGTCACTATAATGAGCAACTTAGTACTGAGTACTGTAAACAGCAGCAGTCTCTTCATTACTCGACCAGCGAAGGATACTTTGAAAGTGCGCACATATATCCTCCTGGTAGCACATCTTCCCTTCGCCAGCCTGGGAACCCGCACCCTTCATTTGTTTCTCAAAAACCGCATTCGTACTTACTAACCCAATCAGCAAGCGAGGCTACTCATTCCAGCCAGCCACTTCTCCCGCAAGATTATATTTATCAAGGCGATACATGCTATGCCGTGAATCCCTCTTATCAAGTTGGCAATACTCCTCAGGTTCAGGCGTACACTCATTTTCTTTCTCAGGACCAACTTGGTTACTGCGTTCAGAGCCAAAGTGGCATGTACTCTGTACCTAACGACCTTCAACCTAACGCTTACGTTTCACATCCTTACCTTCACCCGCCTCTCGTTTCTACCTATAGCCAATTACCCATACAAAGTCACCAGCAGGCACAGTTTCCAGCTTCTGACGTCGTTCAGCACATCCCCGTTGCTCAGGAGTCGTCTGCTGACCTGCAACAAGCCAACCAATACCCACAGCCTACCCAACAAGCATATGATTTGGCTACTTCCATGCCCTACCCGCCGGGTATTGCACCTGAAATTGTCTCGGGCACTTTGGTCGAAACCCCTGTACACATCCAAAACCAGAGTTCTTATAGTGACCATCAGATACCTACCGATGCAGAAAGTTTTTCTGCTCAAGAGCCGTCCTCGGATCTGCAACAGGCCAGTGAATACTTACAACCTAGCCAACAAGCATACAACTTGGCAACTTCCATGGCCTACCCGTCGAGTACTGCACCTGAGTTTGTCTCTGGCACCCCGGTTGAAGCTCCTGTATACATTCAAAACCAGATATCCTATGGTGACCGCCAGACACCTACCGATGCAGAAAAATTTTCACGCGATGATGTTTGGCCTCAGTCCGAAGCACCCGGCCAGCCCTTAAATATAACTGTTCTTCCTGAGGAAGACCAGCGCTCTTTTCAACAAACCCATAATTTTCCCACGTCTCCTTCTTTGCAATCCCAGCCATCTGCAGAATTTCAACCGCTTTACGCCAGAGCTTTGCCAGAGCTAGACTTGAATGATCTGCCGTCAGACGGTATTGAGATAGTAATATCACAGCTTCAGAACCAAATAGAATTATTAAAGTTGAAGCAACTTCAAAGTCAAGCTACTGGTTTAAGAGAACCTCATTCGCAATTGCACGAAGAACCACCCCTTGAGCCCACTAATGTGGGTTTTTCTAAACTCACCACCTTGGAAACTAGCGAAAACCAAGGCGTAGTGAGGGAGTCTTTTATTGAACACCAAGAAGGTGGGGAAGCGCTTGCTCAGTCACAGATTCCCGAGACGGAAATACCTAACCGGCCTCAAAGCTCACAGAACTGCGAAGAGGAGAGGACTTTATTATATAAACAGCTCAATCATTTGGAGTTACTTTTAAAAGATCTCAGGGATAACTTATTTTCCGGGTTACATTCTACTTGTCCCTTACCAAAAATGAAGGATGACAGCACTATCGAAAGCGTTTCGCTTGAGCCTTCGCCGAAGTTGGCGGCTTACGATGCGCTACAAGGAAGTATGGAAGAAGAAGACAAGTCCAAAGTGAGCTGTCCTCTAAAAACTTGTACTAGCCCTCCTCCACTACAACCCTTTCAAATGGAATTTTCGCAATGCCATTCCGAACTTTCTCATCCCCCTTGTCGTTGCTTTCATTTTAAACAAGATTACTGTAGAAGTCAAGATTCTTTGCGATTTAGAAATCATGTATATCCGTGCTATTCGTCTCCACATTGTCGCTTTTCTAAATTGAGTTATACCGAACAAAAAAGTCAGCCGCCCACTGCCAGTAACAAAACATACTCCAAGTTATACACATCCTATTCCCAGCCTAATGCGGGATGTCCCTCTCCGTCTATCGAAATGGATCCTTCCCTACAAGTACCACCGCAGTTTTCTGGTTTTTACTCTCGCTCACAGCCTTTTGGGCCCATGCAGGAGAATCGCCCTGGCACCGACTTTAATACCGCTCAACATAATGCTACAAAACCTCTTAATAAAAGGCAGAAGAAAATACCAGAACATAGATATGCTAATTATTTAAACAATGACTCTGCTATCAGGTAGTCCTCTCGTCACTATATACTTAATAAGTTGCTTGTATTTCTACTATTATTATTCCTATTATTTTAATATTTATTATTGTAACTATTACTATTATATTTATAATTTTTACTATTATTATTATTATTATTATTATCATCTCATTGCATGTATACTTAATATATTTAGCCGGGAGCTGCCCTTGTTACTTTCCCGGCAGCAGCAGGAGATAGTACAGCTTCAAAGTCTCCACCGCAGGGAACTTCTTAAACTTCTTCAACCTCATATTTCTAACGGTTTTTCCTATGAGAAAGGTGTACTACATTTACTTTATAATTTTTTAAACTTTTTCTGGACAATTTTTTTGGCAGATTACCATTTTTCCAGTTCTTATGGAAACCATGCAAATCCTACTCCAGCTTCTCGTTTTTCTGGAGTTGAAGAAGCTATTAATGTTCGTCCCCATCTTCCATATCGTGAAGGTTTTGGAACTTTTGGCCCTCACCGAAGGAGGCCATATAATAGTAATCATGGCTGTGAATCTGTTCTGGATTTTCACAACCATGAGAAACCTTTACAGAATTTTGAACCTAAACTTGAATTGCATCCATTACCGGGGTCTCAGGCTAATTACCGGCCTCATTTTATAGAAAATATTTCCTTTCGCAATAAGCCCACTAATACTTATATGAATCCTTTATACTCTGACTATTTAAATTTGGATTTTAGGACGAGTTATACTCGTCCTGACGGTGGTGTTAATTCTGTGGAATGAGTGTTAGGCCATAATAAAAGTGCGTAGACTGCCTTTTTATTTCTATCTTATAATAAATTGTCTTTGAATTTAGTTTTATGTGGCTAAGCTGCCTTCTTCTTTATAAACCGTACGATATATTTTTTATTAAATTTTTAATTCCATCTGAATTTATTATTTTTTAGTGGTATTTAAGGCTCCAGTTAATATTGTCTGTAGAGTAAGATTTATTTATTTATTATATTAATATACTTATTTTATAGCTTTTATATTCTTTAAAGTTTAAAAAATTTTTAAATTTCTGAAAAAGATAAAAGGTAAATCGCAGGGTTTCGTTAAGATTGACCCTCAAAGTTTTTATTATATACTTCGAGTCAATATTTACTAAGTTTATATATAGTGAAAAGTGCATAATTTAAAATAAAGAATGTCTACATATTTTGATTTATAGATAACGAAAAGATTTTAGTAAAGGCGTTAAAAATACAATGCAAGCGAATCGTTTTTGAAAAAATTTTTTTTTTTTATTTTTATATTAAAGACTTTAAAGGTTACAAGTTCATTTAGCGTTAGAAGAAAACAAATTGTTACACTTGATTTTTTTTTTTTACATAACTAACAATTTTATAATCAAGAGGTTTATTACTGTTATGGTTTTATAAATTATTTAGTTTTTGAAATTGATAGCTTGTGAACAGTATGCTCACAGAAAGAGACAAAGTTATTATTTTTTTGTACATACTAAAGTTATGTGATCTTTCTTACGAAGGAAACGTACATGGAAAACAAATGTTTTTTTTTAATCCTTGTCTATTATCCATATTTCTTCCTTAGCAAGGTTGTAAGATAAATGGACCAGAAAAATAAATATAGCCTTATTTTATCCTTCTGTGTATAAGCTCCTATAGATTTAACTTAAAAAAAATACGGTTATTTATAAATTTTTATATAGTAATTCCCCGTGTTATCTAACAAAAAACAAAATTATTTTTGTAGGGTAGTACCGCAATTATTTAATTTAGTAAATTATTTTTTATACTCAAGCTAGTTTTTATAACATTTATTGCCTTAGTAGCCTTTGGATGTGGTTCGGTAGGCGTTTTACGGCAATAACTTTAAATAATGAAGCTATTTATATATATCAGAATTAAACTTTTTGTTAATCACTTTTTAACAAGCACGATCTCTACGCAAATCCCAATTATAATAGTATATATTTGTCAGTTTCTGTAGGGCACGTACTTAAATTAAATTTTGTACTTAGAAAAATTTTATAACCACAAAGCGTTATTTTGACTTTTTAGATAACAATGACAAGTTTTAAACGAAATGCACATTAGTTACCATTTTCCCCTTAACTTTCAAATTAATAAAATAGTAACTCAACAGTAGTGTGCAAACAGTAAACTGGATTAACTCAGACTTGTAGACTTATTCTAAGATCGAGCACAATGACTTTAAAAACACCTGTTCCTCAGCAAGAAAAACAATTTCTTATTTATTTTAGCGTTTAGCCATCCAAAATATATTAGAGCCATTCCATAGGAGACACTAAAACGAAAATGCCACTCAGTGTAGACCCACTATTTTGTTAATTACACTAAATCTATATATCGGGGCGCAGTTAGACTAAAGAATCTTTACTGCTTATTTAATGAATAAATTATTTTGTAAATTACGCTATATTACGTTAAGATTGGGTTAGGCTTTTATATAGAAAAATGTCAGAGGGGTTCTGGGAAAGTAACGCTTTAATTGTGGGCTTTCATGTATCTATTTCACAGTTAATATTTTTGCTATATATTAAAATTTTTTTAACTGGTTTTAAATTTTAGCTGTCCGAACTTTTGTACATTACTAATTAACCACAAAGCTTTAGTAAACTGTTTTAATAGCTACTTCTAACAGCCCTGATTAGCTGTAAAAGGCAGTAAGCCCGGAACCATGTTAAATTTGAACGTTGCTAAAAAGGATTTATTTTCAGCGTAGATTTTTTTTTGATTTTCTTAACTAATAAGCTGAGATCTAAACCTCTTTACGAGCTTTGGTTTAATATTGTTTATTTTTGCTTGTAGTTAAAGCTTATTTATTAATAAACAAAAAAACAATTTTCTCAAATTTCTGGATCGCTCGCTTGGTGTGCTTGGAAAACTACTAGACTTTACTCGCCTAAACGGGGGAGAAGCATACTATATACAGAATACCTAATTTTGCACTTTAAAAACTTGCAGAAAGTAGATATATAAATTTTTAATTTTATTGTTACAAATAAGAAGTTTTAAGAGCTATACATAACGGAGACACTAAAATATTAAAAGAGCATTGAAATATTTTTTACTTTTAAAAAGTAGAACACTCATCAATTATTAAGAAAATTAAAAAGAAACGAATGTGGAGCAGAATGCCATTTTTTTTAAGCTCTAAAGTGGTACACTTTAATCGATCAAAACTCCCCATTACAATTATACTAATTATATTATTTTAAAAAAAAAATATTAATTTTACTATTTACTAAAAACCATAGACGTTAATTAAGGTCGTATATATTTTTTTATAAAGGTTCTTGCTTGAGATTAAATTTATTAGCAAACCTGTACACGCAGCTGTTTACTACCGAATCTTACAACGAGTCCTATATATTGCCTTAACAAATATGTTGCAGTTTCTTTTTTTAAATAAAATAACGTCAGTGCTTTTTCAAAACTAAATGTGCAACATCTTTTTTATAAGAAATGACAGTCACTCATTTACTGAACGCAAAAAATTAATACTTGTCGAGCAATAGAATATTTTTTAAATATTAATAAGGAAAGAGGAAGTATATAGTATAAATTAAATGAAGAGTAGCTCCCAGACTCAACCAACTTTAAGACATAATCATAAGCGCTGAAGAAAGTCTCTTTATATTTTTAAGTTTTAAAGTTTTGTTATAAGAAAACTTTACTTCTGGGAAATCGAATTCTTTTTTAATAATGAAATCTTATACTTTTTAATCAAAGTTAAACCGAACGCAATTGTTTACTTTTTCGTTTTAATGAATAAAAATAGAGTTATTTTGGACCATGATAATACTAGTAGTAGGTTATTTTATTTTTCACTAACAGTCGCTTTAACTATTTGCTAACACCATTCTTAAGTTAAAAAGTTTATCTGCTTCTCGTTTTTAATCCCCTTCTACGGAGAATAAACTAAATTATTTTCTCGGAAGAAGTTTTTTATCCACTGTCTTCTTAAGCTTTTGTAGTTTAACACTAAGCTTTAGCTTAAATTATTCATTCTAGTTAGTTCATTGACCTAGTGTATATTTTTTAAGGAGACTTTTCAAGATATTTGTAACTAACTTTTTGGTGTGGTTCTTTCGTTCAAACTATAACGCTGTTGAACTAATGAGGTGTAAAAGATATGGAAGATTAATAACTCTAACTAAATTGCAAACTTTCTTTGAAAGAGAGCGTAGTTACATATACTTCATACGTGAGTTATTTTTATTTATTTATTCACCCCACCTTCCTTCAAGTCTACTTTCACGGACACTAAGATTACCTATCTTGCTTGAAAATATACTAAACTCATAACACACTGGGTTTTGTTAGGTTTTAAGACGCTAACAAATAATATGTGCGTCTTTACGTTACGTCTCCCACCTATATTGATATCTGCTTGCCCTTAAAGTTATAATTTGATAATTGTTCCGCGCATACTTTTGCTTATGGTACTTTTACTACCTTTCAACATCTCAGTTTCTATATTTTATTATAAATAAAGTTGGCATTTTCTTATGAAAAATGTAATAAAGCCTGGCTTGTAAAAAGCAGCTTATTTTTCTTATTTTAAAACATTGCATATTTATAGGAACTAATAACCGCTTTAAACACTTTTAAGACTCTTCTTCACATCTACTTTCACTAGACGCTCTTAAAACTATTTTTTATTAATTCGCTATCCACAACTTTAGCAGGTTTTCGTACAGTGCCCTTTATAACTTTATTTTTTAAAAGTTAAGTTAAAACTGCTTTACTATATCCAGAAGGAACACATGCTTAAATTTTTTTAAATTGTAGTTTTTTATGTTTGCTAAGTGTTAGTTTCAATATAAATAACTAAATAGTACTTTCTACTGTATAATAAATAACTAAAGACACATCATTTTTAATATGAAAGCACAACTCCTAATTTTTTAATTAACTAGAATCTTTAATAGCTTTCTAAAGACCTCTTAAGGATATCTTTTCAATCTGTTTCACCTTATTTTTATTTATAAATTTCTTGTTTCAAAGGAAATTTTACCGGAACAAAACTTTGATCACGACTTTAAAAGTTCGGGGCAGATCGAGTAGAATCTAAAATGTATTGTTTCCCATAAATTCAAGTAAAATTTCTTTTTTTTAAATGAAAATTATTTTATAAATATGTTTTAGGTCGAGTAATTTAGAAGTTTTAATTAATGACCTTTTTTATATATTTTTGTAATTAAGTAAAATCAAAGTACTTTTTTTTAAAAAACAAATTTTTTAAAATTCATTAAGGCTCTTGTTTAGGTTATATTTTGTAAATTCTAAATATAGGAAATAAAAAATAGAAGCTTGTTACATGTTAACTTTCTAATTCTGGACCGTTTAGGGTTTATTTACTAAATCTTTTGTTTGCTTGGCACTGAAAATTTTTCAATTAAGGGACACCGAAACGACTTTTTGCTTTTTTTTTTCACAATAAATACAGTTTTTTTTATGGTGTAGAAAAGGGAAAGGTAGTATTAGATTTTAAGCAAATATAATTTTCTAATTCACTGTTTTTAATTAATGGTTATGTTTAAACAATTTTGTTTTTTCCGCACCGCATTGCTATCTACTCGAAAAAATAACTTTTCAGGCATTTATTTTCAAAGATTAAAAAAAGTTTTAAGTCAGTTTTTGGGATTTAGTATCGAAATAAGCTTTAAGAAATTGTTGTATTATTATAAGTTTTACAGTGGAAAATAAGAAAAAAAACTTATTATTTATATTGATATATTCTAAAGATCTCGGGTTTTTTATATTTTACTTTCATGTTTAGTTTTGGCAATGATGACAGGTCTTAAGTACTTAAATCAAAAAGAAGCTAGTAAAATTGATGAGCTTCTAATGGGAGAAAAACTTAATTATTCCATTTACCAACTTATGGAACTTGCTGGACTTGGGTTAGGAAATTGTTATAAAAGTTATATAAGTAACTGGGATTGTATATTTTTTGGTATATGTTAAAATAATAACCTTGTTTTAAGGACAGGACTTTATATATTTAATATATATTTGTTGTTTATTTAATTTAATAGAAGTCCAATTTTCTTTATTTACCTAAAATCTTTTAATATAGAATATTAATTATAATATTATATTAATTATAATAATATTATTGCTGTTAAAAAATCTTTTAATTATTATTTTTTTAATAGTTTTTATTCTTATATCTTATGCAGTTTTTTGAATTTTATATCTGGTTAGTTGTCTCCTAATTTTTTTTTTAAAATGTAAAATGTTAAAAAGCAGTTGTTGATTTTTTATTTCACAATTTTAAATAAAAGTAAATTTTAAATACTTTAAATTTTATAAAAGTTTATTATAAATACTATTAATTTAGTTAAAACCTTTTATTATTCATATGTGAAGTAATAAATTTAGTTTTAAGTTATTAAAAATATTACAACTTAACAGATTTGCTAAAATTACAATTTTACAGTACAAATATTAAAGTTTAAATAATTTTTTTAGTAAGGCTTTTACCTCCTACTAAATTTATATAAAAGTTAATTTTTTAAGTAATTAATTAAAAAAGAATTTTTTTTTTAATTTTATTATTATTAATTATTTATATAATATTGTATATATGTTTTGTTTACTTTGTGCTAACTACTTAACAATTATTATAATTAATAATAAAAAGTTTTATTATTTTATTTTTTTTTTCTTCATTTCTTAATAACTTTTTAACAATTACATATCTTTATAATAAAAAAATACTTGTAATATTTAATAAATATTACTGAATGAATGTTAACTAAATTTTATTTATATCTGCTACCTTTTTTTATTTTGTTTTAACTTTTAAATATAACATTTTTTTATTAGTACTGTCCATATAATTTTCTATAATATAATACTTATAAACTATATTATTATTTTTATTTCTAGAATAATATTAAATACATAATATTTATATATTATCAATTCAAGACTATTATACTTATAATTTCTTTAATAATATTTTAAATATAAATTTTTTCATGTAAGTAAAAATTCTTTTACTATTAGATTATAAATTTTTTATATTTAAATATTTTTTTTCTTATATTAAAAGTTGTGCTTGTGCGATTGAAGAAGAACTAAAATCCGCCTATCCAGAAAAAACAAACATTCTAGTTTGCTGCGGCCCCGGTAAGTTCTCCGCGCTACCGCTTCAGCTCGCTTAAATAGTTACAATATATGAATTATTTGGGCGGGGAAAATTAAAAGGTTTCAGAAACTAATCAAATTAATTTTTTTTATTAATTTTTTTTGGTGAAAACTAAAAGCTTTTAAATATTTTTTCAATAAATTATTGGGAAAATAAAGTCTACATGCTTATATATGCAGGAACTTTTTGGCGGGGAAATAAAGATTATAAATATAATAATAATAATAAAAGTTCCTTTGTTGGGAAATAATGAAAATAATGTAAACAAATTAAAAGGTTTCATAATAATTTTGTTGGAAAAAAAAGTTAGTGGAAAATTTAAAATTAATGAAAATAATGCTTTATAATTTTATTTCTTGGGAGAAAAAAATATATAATAGTAAATTAAATGTTCATTAAAAGTTATGAAGTTTCTTGTAATAAAAAGTGTATAAAATAGTTTATTAATTTAAGATTTCAAGTAAAATTTATAAATATTAATTTTTTTTAAGAGAAAATCTAAAAGTTTTTACTGGTTAAAAGGTTTTAAGTATTAATTATAAAATAAAAATATATATATATTTCTGATGTAATGTTTACTTTAAAGCAAACCTGCAAAAGTTTTTATATTAATAAAAAGTTTGGAGAAGTTTTTTTAGTTGTAAAAATTTAAAGAATAAATTACAAGCTTATAACCTTTTTTTTTTAATATTTTTTTAAACTGCGAAGAAATTTTAACGGGCTTTTTTAGAGCGAAAACGCAATTTTTTTTAGTAAAATATACCAAATTGAAATTTTTTTTGACAAATTCCACTTGAAATCGAAATTTGCAAAAGTTTTTTTAGTAAAATACTTAAAACTGAGCAATAAAAATTAATTAAAAAACTATTCGCCTTATGATTGTTGCATATTATAGAAATTTTTAGCAATAACTTAATACCTTTTTTATATTTTTCTGCTGGTGACTGGTTGCCCTTTTAAAAAGGAAATAATGGAGGTTTATACTTTTATTATTTTATAAATCTATAAAATGTATAATGCTTTTTATATATTTTTTCTTATTTTTGATACAAATAAATGAAAAAACGAATTTCTTTTTTTTGTTAAAATATTATTGTAATGATGAATATTTATTTTTGTATGTGAACTTATATAAACTTTTTTATACAAAGAGTTTGTATAAAAGTGAATAATTTTTTTCAATTATTTTGAAATATTTTATAGGAAATAGTTAATAAAATTATTAACATAATAATATTAATAATATTAAGCAATAATAAAATTTTATAAAAATATAATAATAATACTAAGAATTACAGCAGTAATAATAGTAGTAATAATAATAATAACAAAGGAGACGGATTGGTTTGTGCTAGACATTTGAAGTTATTTGGCTACAACGTTACTATTTGCTACCCAAAAAGAACAGATAAAGAAATTTATAAAGTAACGTTATTTTGATATTTATTTTTGTATATACAAGAAAAACGAAATGTATAAGAATATTATTTATTATATTTTTGAATAAATCTAATTTTAATAATAATAATAACAATAAACACTACAATATTATAATATAGATATAAATAATTGTTTTTAATGCAGTAAACTTTATTTATTGATAACTTTAAATGTTATTATTTATCTTTACAGTTGTGTTCTTTTTAATAATATTATTGATACCAAAGTGATAATAATTCTGGTGGTAATATGAATAACAGTAATTATAATATTAATAATAATATTGAAAATAATAGTAAATACAATAATGTTGGTTTATTTTTTTAGAGTTTAAAATATTTATTTATAAATAATAATTATTAAGTAAAATGTTTTACCAAATATTATAATGTTTACTGTAATATTTAAAAAAATTGTTTAATAAGAACAAATTAATTATAATTTATTATATCATTCTTATATTAAAATTAAAAAAATTTTTTTTATTACAAATTTTCGTTACTTTTTATTTAATATTTATTATTCAAAATTATTCTAATAAAAATTTTATTTATACTTTATTATTTCATTTTTATATTAAAATTTTTAAAAATATTTTTTTATTATATATTTTTGTTCTTTTTTATTTATTTTATTTATTACTAAAATTGTTATAATAAAAAATCAATTATAATTTATTATTTTATTTTTTATTTATATTATAAAATTTTGATACTTTTTATTTTATTTGTTATTAAAAATTGTTCTTATAAAATTATTCGTTCATTTATTTTTATATTAAAATTTTAAACTATTTTTAATTTTTTACTATAAATTATTACTTTTTATTTATTATCAAAAATTGTATAAATATAAAATTGATTACAGCTTATTATTTCATTTTTTTATATTGAAATTTTAAAACTATTTTTTATATTTATTGTATAATTTTGTAACATTTTATTAATTTTATTTCTTATTAAAATTTCTTTAATAAAATATTATTTATTATTTATTTTTCAACTTTATTAATTTATTATAATATTTATTTAAAATTTATCTACTATAAAACTTCTTTTTTTTTAATAACAAAGATTTTGTTAATAAAACAATATTTTTATTTTTTATTACTTTCAGTGTCCGTATTATATTTATTAAGATTTAAAAAAATATTATATATAAATCATAAATATAATATTTTTAATATTTATTAGAGAATTTTATATAATAAAATTAAAAATTTACTGAATACTATAAAAAGTTTTACTTTTATTATTTATTTATAAGTTTTATAAAATATTATTTATAGTTATTTTTTGATAAATATTTTATTATAAATTATATAACTTTATTTTATTAAAAAAATATTTTTATAGAATCTTTTAGAAATATTATTAAACTTTTCTTACAAAATTTAAAATTTATTGACTACTATAAAATCTTATATTTATTTTATAATTTTTTTATTAATAATTTATATTATTTATTTAAATTTTATAAAATATATAAAATTTTTTTAAAAACATTTTATTATATATTATAAAACTTTTTTATTATAAATAATTTATATAAAATATTATAGAAGTATTGTTTTTATATTTTATTTATTTATAATAAAACTTTTCTTTACCCAAAAATATAAAATTTATTAAATACTATAAAATAATATATTTTACTTTATAATTTTTTATTAATATTTTTTTATAAAAAATATTTTATTAAATTTTTAAAAAAAAATTTTTGTATTTACTTTTTATTATTTATTTTTGTTATTTTTTTTTAAGTATATATTTTATATAATTATATTATTATTATAAAACTGTTTTTCATGCTAAAGTATATTAAAATTTTAAAAATAATTTTTATTTTTACTTTTTATTAATTTATTTTTATTTTATTTTTTTTTTTTATTTCAAAATTTTTTTTTAAAATAAATAATAAAGCCTCTTAATAGAAATAAATGTTTTTATAAATATCGTTAAAAAAATTTCAGAGTAAAAAGCTAACGTCCACCAGTTCATAGCGATGAGCGTTTTATAAGAATTATAAAAAAAAATAAGTAAATATAAATGAGCAATAAATTTACTTAACATAAAAAATATATTGAAAAAGATATATAAATGATAAACTTTAATAAGTATTATTACAAATTTTTTTTTAGATTAAATAAATAAATTTAAAGAATCAAGCAAAAGTTTTGAATAAAAAGTAATGAATATTTTTTTATTACTATTAATTATATTAAGTAAATATAAATTATAATAAACTCACTAATAAAAATCATGAAAAAAAAATTTATATATAAGAAAATAATCAATAAATATAGTTGTGAATTTTATATATTAAAAATTCTATTATAAAAAATATTGTTATTTTCTTTTAAAAAATAATTATGATAACTATTAAAAAAAATAATAAAAAATCCACTAAAAAATATTAATATCTGAAAAAATGAACAAGATTTATACATTAAATAAGTATAAATAAAATATTGATAAAATATTATATATAAAATTTTATTATTATTATTATAAACATTTTACTTAAGTGTTTATGATTTTAAAAAAAAATTATATTTAATAATTTATTATTTTCATAAAATTGATCTTTTTTATATTATATGAAACTAAAACTTATTTATTTGTATAAATTTTTTATATACTTTTTTTATAAGAAACTTTTTTTTCTATAACTTTTTATAGAATTACTCGTTGAAGTTTTATGTAATATAATATTTAATTTTTTTTTATTTTTTATGAAACTAAAGCATTTTTATATATACTTTTTCAATACGAAACTTGTGATTTTCTCTAACTTTTTTGTTTAGAATAATCTTTATATATTTATAAGAAAAGTAAAGGAAAAATGTTTTTTGACTAAAGTGATTATTATTTTTATTAAAAACTTCTATACAAAACTTTTAGTTTTAAGAATTTATTATTTTTTTAAGGAAACTTTATAAAATATTTTTTTTATATAAATATATCAGTTTATTATTATATTTTGACTTTTATATTAAATATTATTACAACAAAAAATTTATGAGCAATTTTTTTCTTATAAACTTTGGTTGATTGGCTGATTTAATTTTGTTGGGTTACGCTCCTTTTACTATTTCACTGAAAATTATGATTACTTTTTACCACCAACTTTTTTGAATGAAGCTCTAATTAACTTTTATATCTAATAACTATAAAATTCTCTATTTAAAATTTATATATATATTAAACTTTTTAATAAACATTTATTACTTTATAAAAAATTTTTTATATATATATAACTGTTTGCAATTTTTTTTTTTTTTAAACTATTAATAGAGATTATTAAATCAGTGCGTTGAAATGGATATTGAGGTTATAAAAAATTATGAAGGGTATTATTATTATTATTAAAACTTTGAATTTTTTTAATTTTTATTATTATATTATTACTATTATTAATATTATGTATTATTATTTATTATTTTTTATTATCGTATATTATTTAAGCTTATAAATATGTAATATGTTTTATTATTTATCATTACTTTATAAAAAGTTTACTATTATTTTTATTATATTACATTTATTGAATATTTATATTCCTTTTATTCATTATTATTAATTATTATATAATTTTTAAATAGTATTAATTGTAAAATTTATTATCATTTTATTTATCGTAAAAAAGAATTAGTGCTGAAGACATACGGAAAAACTATGCTCTTGTGGTCGATGCTTTATGTAATATCTTTACTTTGTATCCGTTTTTTAGCAAAGAAAATATTTATATGTCCTTATAAGCAAATTTTAGTAGTAATTATTAATAAGTCGATGCTATTTTTATTATTCATTGCATCATACCCTATTTGCTCCTGTTATATAATTTTGGTGATTATTGCATAAAGGCGGTTCATGGTAAAATTGTTAGGCAAGTTTTTATTTGCTACTGTTAAAGTAAATTTGGTATTATTATTTATATTTTCTTTTTATTTAACAACAATATGGTAGGGTGTACCTTTATTTGCCACCAATTAGATTTTTTGGTATTTAGAACCCATTATAATCGAGTGTTTATTTACTTCTAATTAGGTAATTTTTGGTACCAATTCCTTATAATACTGGAAAACTATTTATTTTTGCTACTAATTTTATAATTTTGGTAATGGTTTATGTTATTTTCTACATATCTAATAATATTGTGGCAAGGTGCCCTTAGCTTGCTACTAATTAGGTATACTTTTGATGTAAGAAATGATTTAGGAGCTGATTACAATTTATTTATTAATTTCTCACCATCCAGTAATATGGCAAAATATGCCTTTATTGCTACTAAATAGAGTTTTAGGCATCGAGTTTTATTCATTAACAATTAACTTGGTACTAATGATTTGTAATTTGGCATAAATACTGTAGTATTTACCTTTTATCTCTGTCAGCGGCAATTTGCTGCTGTGTTAATAAATATTGGATTGGTTTAATTTAAAAAAGCTATCGAGTTATAGACCCAAAAAAAAGTTTTGTTATATTTGAAAAATAAAATTTTTAAAAATTTTTTTTTTTTATATAAACGAAAATTTTTTTTATTAAATGTTGAAAATTTTATATGTACGAAATACAATGATAGAAGTGAACATGACCAGCTTTTTTACGTACCACAATAAAGCTCCAAATTATAAACTGCGGTAAACTAATGCCCCACAGAATAGTTATTCCTGCGTGGCCCATAGTCAAGGCTACGTTTGCTTTTATATTGATCAATAGGAACTTCGCGCTTTGTATGAATATTTACAACTTTTATGTGCAGCAGAACTTTTATAAAATGTTATTAAATGTAATCCCCTGCGTGATATGTGGTCATGGCAAGCTTTAGTTTGCTTTGGCCAAAAAAACTTCGTGCTATTCATGAATATTTACAGGATAGCACCTTTTCCCGTGCAATTATTATAAAAATTATCTCGGCATGACACAACACGCGGTCATGGTTCCATTGATTTGATTGCTCCGTAAAGAAAGTTTGCGTTTTTAAAAAAATTCGCTGCGAAACTTTTCTATTATATAATATTTTAAGACATGTGGTTATGACCACGTCTGGTTTGATTGAACCAATAAGAACGCTTTAATCCACAATATTCACAAACAAACTCTTTTTATAGGCTGTAAAACTTAAAAAAAACATTATTTCGCTATGACACGGGGTCATGACTGATATATTTGATTGACTCAATAAAAACTTTTATACTGAAAATACTACAAAATTTAATTCTGCATTGCACGTGGTTATGGACCAATAAAAAATTTTGTGCTATCCAATATAAACACTAAAATAACATTATGGTGCTATATAACTTTTTAAAAAGTAGAATAAATAGTAATGATAATGGTAATAATAAATATATAATATAATAATACTTTTAGTTGGATTTGGCTTTCGTGGACCGCTGCGAGCTCCGTTTGATAGTATTATAAAGGAACTTACCGACTCCAAAGTTAAACTTTGCAGCATCGACGTTCCTTCCGGTTGTAATATATATTTATTTACTTAAGACAAAGTTTATTTTATATTTATATAAACATTATAAAAATAACTTTTCATGTGTATTATTATAAAAACTAATATATATTTTATATATATAAATATTATACTAGAATATATATTTTTTATTTTTTGTTTAAATACTTGGAAAGTATATTCTATTTTATATTATTATAAAAAACTTTAAATATATATTTATTATAACTTTTTTATACTAATATCTTATAATTTATTTTTATTAATATATTATTATAGAAACAAGAGAAATATTTAATTATAATTTTTTTTATATAAATTTCTTTTATGAAGATATGAAAAGTCAATTTTCTATATATGATTATAGAAACTTTTATTTATTAAAACTTTTTTATTACAAAGATTTATAGTTTACAAGATTTATATTATTTTTGTATAAATACTTTTATACATTTTACTATAACTTATAAATTTTTTATTTTTGTATAAATTCTTAAAAGTAAAATTTATATTTATATTTACAGAAACTTATTATTTTTATATATATATTTTTTATTTATCCTTAATATTAATACTTTTATAGTAAATTTTATTATTATATTTATTTAGTATCACTTTTTTATGCGGTAATATTTTTTATTTTTATATTAATATTTTCCAGTAAAACTTTTATTAATATAATAAAAAACTTTTTTATATATACTTATTATAACTTTTTAAGTATCCGCTGTAATATTTTTTTTGTGTAAACTTTACTTTTTATTATTATTATTATTATTGTTTTCATCATTTATTATTATTCATTTTTTATATCTTTATTATTTATTGTCATTATCAATAATATTATTACCAAAGGCTGGAATATCGACTCTGAAGAGGGCAGCGTCGGAAATGAGTCATTGATTCAACCAACCATGTTAATTTCTTTAACCGCTCCTAAACTTTGTAGCAAGAACTTTAAAAATTGTCACTATTTAGCTGGAAGGTGCCAAATAATAAATTTTAGTTACTTTAAACGTTAACGAATATTTTGGATTATTAATATTAATATTAATATTAATATTAATATTATTATTATTATTATTATTATTATTATTATTATTATTATTATTATTACTATTATTATTATTTCCTTTAACTTTTATTATTTATTTTTATTTTTCTTTATGATATTGTTATGTTAAAAAGAAAGTTATATTTTTTTATTATTATTTATTATATATTGATTTATTTTTATATTAATAGTTTACTTTTCTCATTAACATTTATTTATTTGATTTTTTTATTTGGTTTGTATATTTATTATATTTTTATTTTTTATATTATTTTATTTCATTAACTTTTATTATTTATTATTTTATATAACAAACTTTTTTTTTCTTATGAAAGTAATGCTAATTGTATTTTTTATATATTTTGTCTATAAAAAAAAAAACTTTATTCCTTGTGTAGTAATAATATTTGTAATATTATATATATCTAACTATAGAACTTTTTTTACTTTGAAAGTAATAATAATATATTGATATTATTATATTAATATTAACATTTTACTTTTTCATTAATTTATTATTTATTATATTTATATTTTACTTTTGTATAATTATTTATTTTTATATTTTTCTATAAAACAATATTATTAATAAAAAATTTATCAAAGTTATATATTTTACTTAATATTAATATTTTACTTTTTAATAACTTTTAATATTATTATACTTTTAAATTTAAATATTTTAAAACATTTTTATTAATATTATTCATTTTTTTACTTTTTCCTTATTAACTTTTCTTTTATATTAATTTATATAATATTTATTTATTATTATATTTTTATATATATAACAATATTTTATAATAAAGTTATAATCCTTTTATAAATTTATTCAATATTATTTTTATATTTTTCTTATTAATAACTTTTATAATATATTTTTACTTTGATGTATTTATTTTACTTATATATTTTAATATATATAATTTTTTAATAATATTTTTTTTATATAAATAAATAATTTTATACTCATGTTATAATTTATTATTATTATTAATAATTAATATTATCTATTATATTTTACTTTTTTTACTTTTAAATAATATAAATATTTTACTTTTATATAAAAATTTATTAAATATATAAATAAATATTATTTTTATTTTTTTGTGATTTACTTTTTATTTACTTTTATATATAAATATATTAAATATTCATATAAATATTATTTTCCTTATTTTATATTTTGCTTTACTTTTTACTTGATAATTTTTTTATACTCTTTTTTTTTCATAAACAAATATATAATAAATATATAGCATTAATTATATATTTTACTCTTTTACTACTTTTATATGATATAAAATTATTTAATATTTATATAAATATAATAATTATTTTTATATGTATTACTTTCTTTAACTTTTATTTAATCTATATACGAAATTCTTATTAATATTATTTTTATTTATATATACTTTTCATACTTTTAAATTTTATTATATATTCATATAAATATAATCGACACATTTATAATCATTTATAATAAAAGTTGATACTATTGGATAATATATATTATTAAAATAAAGTTAACACAACTCAAGATTTTAGTAATAATAATAAAAAATATAATGACTTGTTTTCTACTTTTCTATAATATAAATATTATTTTTTTTTTGTATATTTTACTTTTTTTTTTACTTTTTATTATATAAATTTATTATATATTTATATAAATATTATTAAAATTATTTTATTTATTATTTTATTTACTTTTCTATAATATAAATTTATTAAATATTCATATTAATATAAATTTTATTTATGTATATTTTACTTTTATTACTTTGATATACTTTTACTTCCTATTATTATTATTTTTATCATTAAATAAGAAATTTTATTATTACATTTTTTATTATATAAATTTATATTTAATATTATATTATAAAAGTTATAGTTATTATTTATTTTCAATATTTTTTACTTTTACTTTTTACTGATTTATTAATAACGTTAATAACAAATCTATTTTTTATGAATTTTCTTATTAGTAAATTTTTATGGGTAAATTTTTTGTATAAATATCAAATTTAAGAAAAAATATATTTTACTAATTTACTTTTTTTATATAAATTTTTTATTACTTTATAAATTTATAAAAAAAATCACTAAATTGTTTTCTTAATTTTTATAAATTTCGTATTTATTTTTATTATATATGCAGTAAATTTTATGTTACTTGATGCAATATTTTATTATTATTTTTATATTTTTTTTATTTTTCTTTTTTTTTTAATTAATAATTTATTTTTTTTATTAAAAAAGATTTCTCCCTCCAAAATTGGAAAAAGATTTCAATCTAAATCTTCCCTGTACTCCACCTGGAAAACTTTTTATGAAAATTTAAAATAATTAATATTTCGATTATTTTAATAAAAGTTTTTATATTATTATTTATACAAAAATTATCGCAGTTTAGGAAGTTTTTATAAGTAACTTCATTATTGTCGAGATTGCGTAAGAAATTTTATCAAAACTATAAAAATTTCCGTTAAACATTGAACAATTTACATCGTGGCCCATTTATTTCAAATTTGACGTTAATAATAATAAAAGCTTTTAAAAAGCAAAAACTTTTTATAATTATGTTAATCGCTTCCTCCTTCAAAATTTAGTATAAAGTATTAAAATTAAAAGTTTTATAATTTCGAATTTATTATGGAAAGTGATCCTTCCTCTCTTCAAAGACGCTTCGCATTTTTAGAAAATCCATAAAATGTAAAGGAGGAAACTGAGAAGCGTGGCTTACAATAATCATCTTCAAATCAATTTAATGTGTCCTATCAATTAAATTTTACTTTACGGATTTTTAAGATGCAGCTTAGTGTTTTCTCCATTTGAGCGTTATCTATAATTATATTATGCAAAATGTGTATCGACTACTCTTATGCCCGCTCCATTCCCTTGTTTATGTATATTATTTAACCAACCTATTTTAGAGAGAACGGCTATAACTTGTATGTAGGATAAAAATTAATTACGTTAAGCGTAATAATTTGATATGTAGCTTCTTTACTTAAATACATTTTCGATAAAAAATCTGGTATTTTTTATCTGAGTTCTTGTTTTTTCAAGTAAAAGAAAAATGATCCTTGCTAAGAGAATAAGTGATTTTTTTCTTACTGAAATTATCTAGAGTTGTGAGTACTCAAGTTGGATACAAAACACTTATCAATACTCTGAGTCTCAGAGTATCAGTTTGTTCCTAAATTTTGAAAACTTCCTTGATTGACTTTAGCTACAAGGTTTATAGAGACTTTACTAGTAAACAATACTTATTTTAGTAGCACTATTATCCAGAATTTATTAATTCTAAGGTACTTTAGTTTACTCTTGTGGAAAACTCCGATTTGTTTCAACTTAATGACTTGGACTCAATAGATAGTGCAGTTAAAGAAATAAAGGACAGCAACAAGGAGAAACAGGCAGTAAAAAGTTGATAGGTTTTTTTTTACCTAAATTTTTTAAAAGGTGTCTTGAAACTATGCGGTGAGCCTCGACAAAATTTCATGTCCAAAAAAAAATTCTATCAACACCCAATTAGTAACGGACACACCAGCAAGTATCCGATTTGAAACATGAAATCATTGATTGACACGACTGGCTAATTAACCATGAAACCTGATGCAGCGTGAGTATGGTACCTTCCTGAGTCCGGTACTGTTGTGTGTTATCTTGTACTTCGGAAAGCTATGGGACTCGCAAGGGTCGATATGCTTTTAAAATTGGTAAAAAACCTTGGTTGGATAGAGTCCTTGGCAGGTGAAATCTTCCCTGTCTTATGACGTCCGTTATCGTTCCATCATGCCTTGAGTCTGGTGCCTTTATGTAGGCGACTAGACTCGTATAATCATAGTGACTTGCTCTGTAGCATAAACATAACAATAAAAAAAATAGAATCGACTGTTTACTTGTTACGCATGCGCATTGAACACTAGCACTGCCTTTCAAAGCGGTTTTCAATCTAATTTTCTTAGAAAGATCTGTTGGATTCAACTTTGATACTATTAAATATGTTAATGAAAGCAGCTAAGTTGTGCAGTACACTATCTTGGTTGAAGATTAGTAGCAAAGACCAACGCCGTAAGAACATGAACTACATGATGGGTAGTGTTTAAATAATACTCGTGCCTCGTTCCGAGGCTGCAAGTGTAATAGTATTAGTACTGTTATGCCTGTATTAGTATTTTTAACTAGATCGGCGCTTTAGGGTCGGTTGATAGCAGCAAGTAATAAAGAGTGTTATTTACTAGTATTATATATATACCGCGCCACTCTCACACAATATGTAATTAAACATCCTTCATATGTATCTAGAAACACGCTAAATCTAGTCAATTTGCTATTACTGCGTTCTTATCTCCGTACTAAACATATCGGGTGCCGTGGGTGGTCACTTCGTTAATATTAGTGGTTAACACAAGCATATATTTAGTTTAGCGGTTATAGTCTAAAGGTAAGCACAAGTCAAACAAAATTAATGCCGAAGAATTTTATTAAAATTTGAGTGCACACAAACAAAATTTTCCTTTCGGCAAGTGAGACTTTTCTCAGCGGTTATGCCTGATATAATAGGGCCTTGGCCCCGAAATTCTTATTTGGTTTTATTACTTTTATTGCTGTAGTGAAACCTTTACAAGATATCCTTTTTGGCAAGTATTCGCAGGACTAAAGGGAGAGTAAGAATATTTTATAAAATAATTCCAATTTACTTTATTGTCAAGGAACGTTCTTTATAGTATATTTAGCGGGAGCTCTAAATTGCAGAATTTAGTATAAACAATAAAATTTTATATTAAGTGATAAGTATGGAACCCAATACTAAAAGGATTAAACATCTTATACAGTGTCCCCTTTAGAGGGTTCCAGTAGGACTTTCCGCCTCAAAGGAAAATGTTAAAAAAAAGTTCTAAGTTATTGTATTAAAAAAAAATTGCTATTATTTAACAATAAAAGTAGTATTTTTGTCACTATTAAAATAATTCAACAACTTATTCCATACGTAGTTTTAGCTTTATTAATATTAGCATGACATAAGCTACCGCACGAGTTGAGACACGTTAGAATATTTGTATAACTCTTTAATAGTTTTTTGGTAATCCAAAAACATGGACTTTCCGAGGTGACATTGTTATGGCTGGTCATTCCATTCGAATATAACCTTTTGTAAGAAAATTGATTTGCAGGACATATAGGTTGTTTAAATTTCTGGCCCAGTAGTACGAAGAGGGAATAGAAGCTTCGATCAATAGGTTTAAACGCTCTTCTTACAGGACGTAACTTTATTCAGAGGTTTAACTGAAGTGGGACTTGGACTTAAGTTTATATCATAGAAGGCATATTTGAAAATATATTTTTTTAAAATTCTTCTCAATCTGAATCAGATTGAAGTGCCCCGAACAATATAAAGTTGTAAGTTCGTATGTTTCTTCAATAATTTTTTGAAAGTTTAAGAGTATAATTTAGTCTATATTTTGTTAAAAGGGATATTTAGTTTTATTATTTTTCTTTTTAACCTTTATTGCTTTTGAAAAAAGGATTTCAGCTATTTCATATGACTTTTTCAGTTAACGTTTATTATAAATTAGGTTTTATATAATTTAGTGTTGAATATTATATTTGCCAAAGTTTAGGAATGATAGATAGCTAATATAATTCAGTGATGGTCCTTAGAGTGTTAGACTTTGAAATTACATAAAATACTTGAAGTCATTTTTAAAGGATTAAAAGTGTAGTTGAAGTTTGTTGGAAGGTTGTGTGGTGAATAGTCTTTAAAGAGGAAGGACACATTTTTTGGTTAGTTCTGCTGAAAAAAATTGTATACTGGAATTGCGACTTTTAGGATTATGGCGATATTGGAACTACTAAAGATGCTATGATTCTAAATGTTAATATATATGTGAGCTCAATCAATTATTCCCCTTATCTCAATGTTTAAGGAACTCGCCGACTCTATTAATAACACTACCATTTAATAATAAATACTAAATATTTAAAATAACTTTAAATATTATGGTTGGTTTTGTGTCACTAGAGTTTATCAGTTCATCGTAATAAAACTCTATTAGATCATTATAGGCTTATTGTTACTTATTCGAATATTCGGAGGTCAGTTACTCAGTAAAGTTACACTATTACCGCTTAATATAAGCATAATACAATGTTTATCAAAATATTTAGTGTCAACAATAGTTCACCCTAGTTAATTCGAGTAGCTTGGTAGTTTAGAAAACTAAATACTGCATTTTTAATTGTAGGAGTCTGCTTTCCAATTTAAAAAGAACATGTATTGTAATAAAGAAGAATTCGTAAGGAATTAATAAGTTAAAGCTATTATTATCTTTAAATTTAATAATACAGTGAAGGGATCTTAAGTATTGAGCTATGCATATTTATTTAATTTCTTCCCTTAAATCATATATTTGAAGGAAAAAATAAACTATAGTACAAGAAGAAAAATACTATTGCAAAAATTACTAAATGAAAAAAATACACAGCCAATAAAAATCAACCAAAAAAGTTTAGCGAAATTTTAAGTTTGAAAAACTTAGCCTCATTTATTTTGGCGTAATCATACCCTCACCTGAAACACGAAAGTTTAGAGGAGCAGCCAAGCAATTAAAATATCATTTTTTGTTAATTTTTTATTTGTGTGCAGATGAAAACTGTTTATTAAAGTATATAGTAGCACAGCTTTAGTCAAACTTTTATTATAGTTGTTTAAACTAAATTACACGCTTTATATTTGAATGAATGTAAACGTTTTTTGTAAGCGCTACTTTCAATGAGTTCAAAAAAACCTTATAAATAGAATTTTAGAAAAAAAGGAGCCGTTTTTTATGAATTCCTTTAAATGATAGCAGGTTTATATTCATTATATAAATTTTAGGTACTTGAAAGGATCTATATATTTATAAAATATACTCAATAATTTTAATTACAATAATCTACTTCTATATAAATATACTAATAATTATTATAATTAAAATTGTACTACGCAATGCTAGCAATAGTTACTCAGTTTTGAAAAATTGGGCGGCATGTATAATTAATGTGACTTTATTGTTAGCAGGTTGGCTTTATTATATAAATTTCTAGTGCTCGCACGAATCTTTATAAATGTATAGTACTACCCTTTAGTTTATAATATATTAATAATAAATTTAACTACAATGAACTACTTCTATATAAATATATATTACTATTTCTCATGATTAAAACCTGTACTACGCAATGTTAACAATAGTTATGAAAATTAATCTTTATAGATGAGTACTCAGAAGGAATTCAGTACTACTAAAAATGCATCAGAATATAAATATATTATAAAAATATAAAGTGGAATAATTTTAATAATAATTTTCGTTTTATTTTGTTGAGCTTAAGCAGAATTTTGTTCAGAAGTTTGCTGAACCAGTCTGTTCCAAGAGGCACTTTCCAAGATAACGAGGCCTGGCCTGCACACAAGCGTTAACAAGTAATTATTAATAATTTTAATTAAATTTATTATTTAGATCTGGAGCTAATATTGGGCTCATTAAGAAAAAAAATTATAATTATCCTGAATTTAATAAAATTATAAAAATTATTTTAATAGCTTTTACTTTATTATTTATAGTAAAAATTTTAATATATAAATTAAAAAAAACTAACTTTATAACTTTGATAAAATTTTAAAATTTAATTACTTTCAGTTTAATATATTTAATTTTGTCGTAAAAAACTTCTAATTTTTATATATTAAATTTTTTTTCTAATTTGGTGACCCATTAATTTTACTAATTTATTTGAAAATTTTTTTATTACTTTCATTTATTTCTAATTAAATTATTGTTACAAATATTCTTATTTAGTTTTTAGTACTTTTATTTATATTTTACTATAGTATTATATATTTAAATCTTTTTTTTCAAATAAATTTTTAAAAATAAATTTAAATTTTTTTTAAAAGATTGTCTATCAATTTTTTTTAAAAAATTTATAAGAATCAGCTCCGCGCTAACCCAGTTAGTTTAGTATTAAAAAGCCCTTCACCACCACAACAGCAAACTCCGCAGCCTCCGGATCTTTTTACTGAATATTTTAAACTTCTGAATTTAATAAAAAAAAAAATTAATTCCAAAAAAAAGACTAAAAACTACAATTAAATATTATACTAAAATTTTACTTTTTCGTATTTTTCTTAATATTTTTTTAAGTAAAAGGTTTTGAGTATTTTTTAAAATTAAAGTTAAAATAAATAAATTTAAAAAAAAAAAAATTTAAAATTTAAAATTAATTTTTTACTAAAGATTTATTACTCTTAATTTTTTTTGTTGTTCTTTTACAATAAAAAGTTTAATGTAATTTTTAAATTTATATATAAATTTAATAATTTTAGAAAAAAATAAAATTCGAATTTAATTTTAAACTAAAACTTTACGTTTTGTAATTTTTTGTTATTTTTTTTTAACTAAGAAGTTTTAAGTAATTTTAAAAATTAATTTATAAATAATAATTTTAGAAAAAAAATTAAAAATATAATTAATTTTATAAAGATTCATTATTTGTATATCCTTATTATTATTTTTTTAAAAAATTAAAAAAGTTTTAAGTAATTCTTTCAATTTTATATAAAAAAGTGAATCAATTTAGAAAAAAAATTAAATTTAAAATTAACCTTAAACTAAAGAAAATTTTTTCGTATTTCTTTATTTTTTTTTTTCAACTAAAAAGTTTTAAGTATTTTTTTAAATTATATACAAATTAAAATTAAAAAAAAATTTAGATGCTGCGCATTTACAATTCCATAAGCACAACGGCGTTTGTGTCCACAAGCAAAATTTCGCCGTCCGCCAAATACTTTTCTATAATTGTTCCGCACGCATTAAAAAAAGTAAAAGTGTTTGCCTAAAAATTTGAGTAAATTCAATTTATAAATTTAATTAAAGCGTAAACTGAAGCGTACCTTACAAATGTTCAAGACAAATCCCTGACCGCCAAAGCAACCTGAAAAAAAAAAGATTTAAGGTCTATAAAAAATTTAAGTCGTCAAAAAACTATAAACCCGCTGCAACACTGCCGGTGGTTTTGTAGTTAAAATTCACGTTTAAATCAAATGTCCCTAAAAATGCACCGTTTTTATATATAATCCCTAAAAAAAATATAAAAGATTAAAAAATTAAAAAAAGTTCATCAAAAAAAAGGAAAGCAGTTGAAACTCAACAAAAATATCAACATATAATTTTTTTAAAAAAAATTAAGTCAGTTTAAATCTTAATAAAATTTAAAAGTTAAAAATAACAAATCCGTTAAACTATATAAAATATATATTAGTATTTATATAATAATAATAAAAAAATCAGCCTTCTGGATACTGAGAAAGATCCAAAGCAATAATCTAACAAAAAATTAAAAATCAAGTTTATTAAGATTAAACACTTTTAAAATAACTTACTTTTGAAGGTAAAGCCGGCGCTATTCCAACATAAGCAAGCTCTGAAGTTTTGTTAACATAATTAACCCTACACGATTTTTAATAAATATAATATAGAAAAAAAATAAAAATAATCAAATATGAAATGCCTGAAAAAATCTTCTCCGGCACAACAGCTTCGTAAACAGGCATCTCCGAAGCCTCCTGTTTCTATTTTTAGAGACTTTATATTTTTCATGTAAACCATTGAGCCAGGTTCACTCTATTATTTGAAATTAATATGATCAACGGCTTTAGTTGATAATTTTCTTATAATAAAATTAAATTTAAAATACTTTGCCAATAATTATATAAAAATAACTCTGAAGGGATATTAAAAAAAATTGGCAACTGAAAATATCTGGGTTTATCATAAAAGCTTTTAAAGTAGATATAAAAAATATTTACTCGAAAACTTTGACCAGGCTTAAGTTCAACTTCTAAAAGTTGAGCAAAATCACCGAGAATTGCAAATCTGCGTATTGTTTTTGTATAAGTATTCATAGAGTTGGCAAAAAATATATAAATACTATCTCCAAAAGAAATTTTTTTCATAATATATTGTTTATAATCAAAATAATAAAGTACCTTTGACCAGCATGTTGAGCAAGGTGAGGATCATTATTATTGTGATTGCTCACTTTAACTGTTTAAAAGAATGTTTATCAAGAAAAAAATTGTTACAATCTATAAAAGAAAAAGATATATAAAGGAGAAACAAAAAAGATGGTTTATGTACTAAAAGGAGCATTTTCCAAAGGTTCAGTTGAGGGAGTCATAGCGCGAGTCACTATACCAAAAAAAAATAAAATCAAAGTTTATATGCCTTCAGTGTAAACCGCAACCAGTAATAGCAATGAGCGTATGAGGTGGAGGAATGTTCAAATAAACGCATTGCATGAAACCATTTTTTAAAATGCGGTTACAACTTTTAACTCGTTCCACCTTTGTGTACGGACGTTTCTCATATAAAATTTTATTTATATTTATTTAAAATTAAAAAATTTTTTTTTAACAACAGTCAAAGACAAAAAGAAAGACTAATCCCCCTTTAGAGCGAGGGGGGTACATTTATTGCCTGTATAATGCAAAATATGGAATAATGAGACGTAATTCTAATCAATCTTTAGTGGTTTTGAGGGTTGCTTTTTTAAAAAGGTAATATTTGGATATATGAACTTTTGTATATAACTTTCGTTAAAGGAACTAAAACGGCAATACTTTTTGCATGGGTACACTTCCTCAGTGTCTATTCCCTGTTATACTCGGAAAAAAGTTAAAAGTCAGTGTAATTTAAGATAAGATCCAAAAAAGGAATCTTAATTTGTCTAATAAAATCAACTGTTTCCAAATTGGTTACAGAAATGAAACCTCAAAAAATACAATTAAACAACTTTTTTTCCAATCCGATCAATTATAAAACATGTCAACAAGTTATTTTCTAATTTATTGATATAAAAAACATGAGGACCAGCTTTGAGCTAGAAAGTTCTTCAGTTTATCGGCACGGATAAAATAACGAGATTCGCTTTATAATACCGTATAAGTTATACACGAACTTGAAGATAACAATTCTTTTATGTTACCATTATGCTTGCATGCTTCCTTATCTTCTGAGAAGATAGTATAAAGTTCTCCTATAACTTCTTTAACGGTATGTCTTTATTAAAGGTTTCTGGAATTTACTATTATAACGTCTTTTCAAAAGTCCTTTGTATAAGGTTTTAGTAAGAAGCAAAAATCCTCTTCTAACGTATGTAATATCTTAATCCTACGAGTTTTAGGTGCAATAAGATAAGATTTTTTATAGTATTAGTAGGGCTTGCAATAAAAAGATAAATTAAGAAAATATGTATTAGTAGCAGTTTTCTGTTAGCCCACATTTTTCACTTGGTACCACGTGTAATTGAATTTCTTTTTGGTTATTGATGCGATGCGAAATTATTTTTTCTCAAATCTTTGGAAGCCTTAAGTTTTGGAAGGGGTGTAGTGGAAGGTAGGCTTAATTTTCTAGTCGTTTATGCCAAAGCAACTAATTCGTAAATATGTAAACCTTAATCGTTTTACCAACAATGGTTTTTATGGCTATCAAATTACTTATCTTAATTTATTATTATTACCCGGAAGCATAGACGTCAAGTATGCTTCCAGAGGTGATTCAAAATCTTTAAATGTATACTATTAATACTGAGACATAGTCGAAATGCTATAGTCGCGCATAGTATTAGCATAACAACTTCTGTCTATGTAGTAGCTATCATGGATTTACAGAAAAGTTAAAGAGCGTAGGCTTTAAATCTTTATTCCGGAAAATTTTTAAACTTTAAAAAATATTTGGAAAAAAAAATATTGAATCCACGCAGACGGCTTTTACAAAGTTGAACCACATGAAGAAGGCAGTTGAATTGGTATAATTATGAAGCCGAGAAATAATAATAATTTTATTTACTAAAAGTTATTACAATTCTGGGAGCCCTCTTTTTTTTAAAATTTGCCTTAGTTTTTGCTTATTGCTCTGAGGCTTTGTCTTCTAAAAAAACAATTTACAAATAGGTCTGAAAAGGTCGATAAATAGAAGTTTCGTAAAGATTAATAATTTGACCCCTAGTCTAGTTGCAGCCACTTTTACTGAATTGTGCTGCCGAGATCTTTTCTATGTTAGCAAATAAGAAGGTTCACTATTCGAACAGGAATTCGAATTTTTATTTAAAGTTTTTAAAAAATTTAGAAGTATTATTAGAAGTCAAGAAACTTTTCATACTAACAGAGGAAATTTAGTAATCGATAAAGGAATGCTCTACCGAAAATATTTTATTGAACTTGCAAACTTATTGAGAAATAGATTAAATGAGTTTTTTTCTACAAAGTTTCGCTAACAAAATTTTTCTCTACTCTGAAAATAAATACGAACTATTGAAGATTAGCAGGTTAACAGGTATAGTAATATGGAGAAGTTAAAAATAAAGTATTGTATATGGGGGTTTTTTTTTTCGTTAGTTTATAAACAATTTTTTAAATAAAAAAATCTAGACAGGATAGAGAAATTGTTTTTTTTTTAATCTTCAAAGTTCAGTTTAGTTTAGTACAATGTGACATATGATCGTTGCAGTCAAAAAGTTGAATTTGTTTATTTTTACCCATATGAGCAATGTATCATATCATCCATATACCCTCTATATAATTTTATATAGCAAGAGATCTGAGAAACTCCAAAGCTAAAACTAGAGCATCGAGATTGCCCTCAGGGTCCCGTTTAATTGTTGGTATAGGTTATCGTTAAACAGCTTGACATAATGTTAAAAAGGATGGATCTCTGCTACGACTCAGGAACGATAGGAGCAAACTTACCTATTTAATTAAGGTAAACCATCGAATCTCTGAAGCAAAGGACTAGAAGCATATAATTAGGATTTATACGCCTAATGAGCAAGACTACAGACGTTTGACTTCTCTTTTAGCTTCAGCAAACTTTGAGTACTACACTTATCGCCTCCTCCTGAATAAGAAAATTAAGATATTTTTTCGCGGTATTCTATTTATATGAATATAGAGGAAATTGAGATAGAGAATTGAAAAAACAAGACTTCCATTCCACTGAAGTTATTAGAATGAGAAAATGTGATCAAAGTATAACCCCTTTCCCCTAGTATTAGTAAAAGTACCCAAGAATGAAAGTACTATATTTAAAGTCGGAAACATTGGTTATATTTTCGTTTCAGTAGAACTTTTAAAAAATGGTAGAATTGGTCAAACAATGTTTTCGAGGTGACAGTTATTCAGGCATATCGATAAATTCTGCGCCTCTCAATATCAGTGTTGAATGTGCAGAAAACCACCATTTCAGATCCTGCCCTAAACTTAAAGAAGACAAACCCAGGAGTGTAAACCGTCTAGGTGAGCACACTGCAAGATATAGAGGTTGGTTTTATTACCCTAAAAATGCGCCGCTTAAAAGAAACAACTATACTTGTAAATTTATATCTCAAACTCGGGAGGACGTGGTATCCTCCACGAAAAGCTATGCTCAAGCGTTAATTAGTAAACATACTCAACCTTCGACTGGTCTCGATGAACTTATTGTTCAACAAATAGTCAACTATTTAACTGTAGCGAAAATTACTCAAAATATTAAAAAATATTAATGATTTATTTATAAAACTTAATATTCGCAATGAAACTACCAGGTATTAAGTATCATCTCAAAATAGCCTCCTGGAATGGCGATGGCCAGGGGTTGACCAATAGAATGAATATTGACCATATTTTAATATCAGAATCCCTTTTGAAAAACAGAAATAAGTTTTATATATCAAATTATAATATATATCGACAAGATCTTGAAAACCTGAGAGGTGGAGATATAGTTATACTTGGTAAGAGACATATAAAGCACTCCTTATCAAATTTTCCAAAATTTAAAAATCTAGAAGCTACCGGTGTATGCATCACTTAAAAAAACTTGGTCCAGCGAATATTATTTCCTATTCTAAATCGCTTGAAAAGAATTATTGAAGGAGGACTTAGATACGTTATTTAACAAACTAACCCGGTCATTGTTCGGGGAGCTCCTAAACAGCAAACATTCCTCTTGGAGCAGCAGGAAGGACAATCCCAATGGGAAGATTACAGCACATTGGGAGGAAAATAATGTATTTTTTATTTTAGGCCCTCTTTGATTCCACACATCGCTCAACTAGATGCTCCGTTGATGTGTTAGACATACCTTTTTTAAAAACCATTTCTGTTTCTATGCGCATTACTGACCTTCATAAATTATCCTCAGATCATAGCCCGGTGTTATTGCAGGTTGAAGATTTAAGTCGGGCCATCATAGAGAGCAGCCTAGAGGTAACCAATGAAATCTTTTTTAAAAACAGAGTGGTGATTAACGAATTACGATTATATCCTATTTCTTCCTGTTCGACTGAATTTAAAGCTTCCCTCCTTTTAAAAACCCATTAAATTACTTAGTGAACTCATCAACAATTCAGAAAATTGTAATAACTTTAAAAATATCCTTCCCTCTCACCATAAAGAACTTATTTATAAATGTAAGAATTAAAAAGAATATTTACAGGAAGACGAGCCCTAAGTGACAAGTTAGCCTTTAACAAAATAAGTAAAGCGGTTAAACGCGAATTAAATGCTTTTTTATAACAACCTGTGGGATATGAAGATACGATCTTCAAATTTGTCCGATAATTCTTTATGGAATTTGACAAAATCTTTTGAAACTTAAACAAGTATGATTGACGTACAACTTTTAAATGATAGAGGAAATTGCTTATTCAAGTAAAGAAACGGCCAACATATTCGCAGAAAAAAAAAATTTGTCCCCTCAGCGCAAACCTTCCGCTATCTTTAATAATGCAAATAACTATTTGGTGCATAACCGAATACTATATTACTTCCGCAAAATTGCATCACCTATAGATTATCAGGTATTTACGAAAGAAAAGGAGATTCAAACTAGAATTGATAAAATTACACATTAAAAGTAGAGGCCCTAACGGTGTATTAAATGGGCTGCTAAAAAATCTTCCTCCACTGGCTATTTTTTATTAGGGTTATTTTCCTACAAGATAGAACACTCGGAAGTTATATTTATAACCAAAAGTAACCATACTAGCAACTATTCTAAAGACTAAGTTTACTTTCGTCGTAGGTAAAATTTCTGAATCCATTATACTCTACAGATTAAAAAAATTCGCAAATTCTACAAATCTTGCCTCCTCACCCCAACTGGGCGCTCGAGGAGGACACTCTAAAACACTGCAAATTTTTAAGGGTCGTTAGGAACAATACAAAAGAGTTCAGTTAAAAGAAATCAATAGTTATAGTATTCTTATATAGTGACAAAGCTTTAGAGGCTGACTTCAATGATTTATTTATAAATTAAGTTTTTTATACAAGTTACTAGTATACCTTATGCGCGTGCTATATTCATTTCTTA